GAATGCCTCTGTGGGAGGCTGTGTTTTGGTCCCTGAGGGGTCCAATGCACTTCACTGGTTCTTACACTGGTATCTGAGCCTCAGGGAGCAGCTGGAACTTGGAACATACAGCCCTGGGTGGTGCAGACTTCAAGGCTCCAATTTCTTTGGGGTGAATCTTTTTCTGCTCACGGTCCAAGGCAGTCCGCCAGCTCTGGGCTGAGTCCCTGTGGCAGGCAAAGATCTCCCAGTCCTGTGGCCATTGACAGTTGTGACTCCTGGCTTGACTGAAGGAGCTCAGTTCGAACTGCATCAGAGGCCTGGGAGCTCAGCTCTAGCCCCCGCGCAGGTGTTGAAAGCCAGGCTCCTCACACTTCTCTCTGGTTCAGACGCCCCGGGAGCTGCCTCTGTGTCTGCTCCTGCTGGGACTCCCTCCTGGGTTTGACCCCTGGGAACTTCCCTTTCTTGCACTGGAGCTCAGCCTTGTACTTCTAAAAAATGCTGTATTTTATCCAGCATTTATGTGTGTGTGTGGCGGGGTCCGTGTCTGTTCAGTCTACCAGCTCAACCAGAAGATCCCTTCTGGCCCGTCCCCATACGTTTGTCTTTACTACCCCTACCCCAAGAAGCCGCCCCTTGGGGACGGTGCCTCGTGCAGCTTGGTTTCTAGTCCTTGCTAATGTACGTGCTCCCTCGTCTGCTCTTCAGAGATACAGCACTCCAAAGCACCAAGCACGCTGCTGGGCACCCTGGTGCATGCAATAAATACTTGTTCATTAAAGGAAAGCAAGCAACCTTCAATATTTTGCTACTAACAGCTGGTCATGCTGGCTGGTGCTACAGCTCACCCCCTCTCCCCAGCGGGCCACTTCACATCCTGTCAAACAACAGAGCCCACTGCAGCAGATGGGAGGAAGATGATAAAAAAGGGTAGGCAATTATTGGCTTTAATAATTCTAGTGGAGCCTTTCAAGGCTGGTAAGCAAAGGTGGTTTACATTTCTCACCACCAATTTTTTAACCTGCTCCCATTACACCCAGACTTCTATATCTATTAAGAGGATGCAGTAATAATAATAGTAGTGACTAATATTTAATATTTATGAGTACTCATAGAGCAGACATGTACTAACCACCTTAATAGTAATATAAATATGAAAATAATTATGATTATCATGGCAGTTAACATACATATGGCACTAAGTGACAGGCACCGTTCTAAATGTCTCATACGTTAATTCACTGATTCCTTCCAACCCCATTATTGACCATGATGACTCACAGCTGGTGAAACTGAGGCACAGAGAGATTAAGTGACTTGCTCAGGGTCACACAGCTATTAAGTAGCAGAGGTCCAGGCTCCGTGTCCAAGCCTCCCTTCAGACTGCCCCTCCATGCATATCTTTTCCGTGCGTTAATTTCAGTCTTCAAAATAACCCCACGAAATAAGAACTATTATGACCCGCTTTTTACAGATATGAGAAAATGCGGGCTCAGAGAGGTGTGAAGCAGGCTGGAGGCAGCACAGCCAGTCGCTGGGCCAGCTCTACCCAGACTGCAGAGTTGGAGCTGTGAGCGGGAGGCAGAGCACGTCAGGACCACCATCCTCATGCACACACATGCACATACACGCACACGCATACACACGTTTACTTCTGCAAGTCCCCTGGATGTCTTTTCAAAAGCTATATAATTTGTTTTTAAAACTGTGTATTTCAAAGAATTTTTCTGAGGTTTTAGAGTATATTTAAATAAATGAATGCCTTACCTTGCCTAGCACTAAACCTCAGTATGTTTCTAAAATGAAAAAAAACAAAAACCCGGCCCTTCTCACATGGGTCAGCCTGCATACCTGCATAACTGCATACCTGCGTAACTGCATAACTGTATCTGTGTAACTGCATAACTGCATACCTGCATAACTGCATAACTGTAACTGCATAACCACACAACTGCATAACTGCATACCTGTATACTTGTATACCTGCATAACTGCACAACTCCATAACTGCATAACTGCGGCTGCTCTGGAAAGACCTCCTCTGCCACTTCTCCCTCGTCAGGTGTCCTCCTGCCTGCGACAGGTGGGAGCAGAGCCTGGGGTGAGGGAAACAACCCTGTCTGACCTCTGCTCTCAGGAGTATGAGTCGCCAAGAGGCTGTGCCCTGTTCTCCTAGTCTAGGAGAGAACACTGGTGCAGGCCAGCAGCAGAGGAAGTGGCAGAGAGAATCTGCAGGGGTGGGGACGCAGGATGGAAGCTGAGGGAAGACAGGGGCCTGCTGGGTAGAGGGGGTGAGCTGTGGCACCAGCCCGTATGACCAGCTTTTGGTGGCAAAATATTGAGAGTTGCTTGTTTTCCTTTAACGAGCAAGTATTTATTGCGTGCACCAGGGTGCCCAGCAGCCTACGTGGGGCTTTGGAGCACCGTATCTCTAAAGAGCAAACAAGGAACAGGGGCCAGGCAGGGGAAGACAGGAACCAGGTGTGGCAAGAGTCGGCCGCTTCAGGTCCAGGCTCTGACATGAGCCAGTGGGGGTCAGGGGACCGCAGTTCTGTCCTCTATAGGACGGGCTGCTGAGATATGAGGGTGGAACCATTTACTATTGCAAAGTGCTTGCCATCTGTACTGGTACAGTGGGAAGCACAGAGAAGCATTTGTTAGACAAATCAGCACCCTCGAACTCCGAAACAGCTACGCCCAGCAAAGGCTGCCACAAGGGAGGGAGCAGAAAGGCTTCCTTAGGAGATAAAAGGAAGAAAGCTGCCCACTCCATCCTTCTCCAGAGAAACTACTGCTCACTCTCTGCTCCTTAAGGCCCTGCTGGGGCAGGAGGGCTGTCCCCGAACACGCTGTGCTGTGGGAGGGGTTTGAACATCCCACTCTGGGACAAGAGCTGGAGGTAGCCCCAGCAGAGGAGCTCAGTTCTGGCAGCGG